GTTTCTTCAACACAGAGGTGGTAACAATTTCTCCAGAAAAGAAACGGTGCACGTCACCACTCCTTGAGGACACAAAGCTGATGTCAGGAGATGCACATAGTGACAATCCTGACTCAGAACAGTAAAGCAGCCCCAGACACCAACCAAACACGGTCCTACCTAAACCAGACAAAATCCTCAGAATCAGCACAGGAATGTGAAAGGCAGGTTTTACTATAACAAAATTATAACATTGTACGTAATAAAAAAAATTAAAGGTAAGTGAGAAGACTGGGAAAAACGTGCCAACACACACAATCAGACAATGGATTAATTTCTAGCACACGTAAAAGCTCCTATAAATAAAAAAGAAGTTTTAATAGCAAAAGGATCAAAGTATCTGATCAGGCAATTTCTAGACGATGAAATACAAATTCACTGAAGACAATCAACCTCACTGATAATCAGGGACGTGAATACTAAGATTTAATGTCACGTTTGACAATAAAACTGACGAAAGATTAAAAGATGGGTATTAGCCATTGCTGACAATACTGTTGGCAGGCATACGTATCCGGTATTTTTTTGTGAAAGATGATTTAACGTCAGCTCCAAAACACAGTATGTATAGGTCCACATACATGTGCACAAAAGCATGCGATTAGAGTGTTATTGCAGTTCTGTTTGTAAGAAAAACAATTAGAAACGATGTGAATGTCTAAAACAGAAAATTATTAAAGAAATCCTTCTGTTTCCAGACTGTAGAATATTTATGCAATCGTTTAAAAATTAAGTCATTAAGCACATGGGAAAATCATCAAGATGCATGACCACATGCATGACCATACACGTTTTTAAGTTTATGGAGAAAGTTGTAGAATAACAAATGCTACATACGAAACTGAGCGATAACCTCCAAGGAGAGTAATAGAGGGAAACAGGAAGAAGGACTCTTGATCTACTAACATGCGCAGAACTTAATTTGAGTTCTGTCACAAGCGTGTGTCCATGCATCACTCACGCGCTAAAAAAAGAAATATGTACTCCCATTTTTCTCCCTATTTCTCTCCTTCAGAATCCCCTGCGGGCGAAAACGTCCAAAGAGAAGAACACAGGTACTGGAAAATGGAGACACGTGTTAGTAAACATCCAAGAACGAGCGAGAACCCAGACGTCAGAGCACGGTTCGTGCGGCCACAGACCTCTCTGTGGCAATGGCCGACCAGCCGCAACCCACTCACTGCACCTCTCCAGAGTCAAAATCACCAGCCGTTAACAGGCGGCTGCAAACCAACATAGGGGCCGTTGACAAATGAAGGGTTTATTCAGAACCAAAGACAAGGAGATAAAAAGGAGTCAACTCCAGAGCACAACATGCCTTGACCAGCCGGACAGAAAGGGCAGTGCTTTGCTCTGGATCCCCCACCAGATTCCAGGATCTGCCAGCCGGCGGGGTGACCTGGGAAGGACCTCTGCGTGGCCACTGACCTCACCCCCAGAGATAAGACCAGAAGGATTTTCTGGGATGCTACTGATGACTACCGGATGAGGAAACAGAATCACCGCGACATGAATCACACTCACATTAGTCAAGTTTTGTTCTTGAGACTTTGGAATGTTTCTGGAGATTCTAAGTGAAATGAATTTAATAAATGTTTTACAGCCTAAGGGCACACACAAGATAACTATCCGAAGATGAATCACAAGAGAAACATAATCACTTCCTTAGTCATCGTGTCACAAATGTACCCACTAGACAGTCTTCATACTGGTTTCCAGAAGGCCACGTGCTCTTTACACCAGTGGACTCTGGGACAAGGTCCTTCTGATAACGACTGCTTCCAGGCCCCGGCTGTGCTGACATTCCCGTGACCAGCGACGCTGCAGACTCGTGCAGGCGGAATGCAGTACAGGCCCATTTCCCGTCCTCCCCAGGCACGAACAGTACAATGTCAGAAAGCGCACCGCCTGACCCCATTCTGGGTGTGTGGAACCGCGAGGCACATTTTCTTGGGCCTCGAGAGCCCATTCACCTGATGAGGATCAAGATTACGAGGCGGGCTATTCACAGCCACCATCACTGCAACCCCCAGCTGCTCACCCCTGTGAGTCACAAGTCTGCCACCAAAATGACACAGACAAACGGATACGAGGGCTGATAACAACACAACTGTTACGCCTAGGCCCTCACTCCAAATTACCAGGTTTCTTCACTTAAAGAACCTCAGTGTTCTCAGGAAATGACTTCATAAGAACTTACAAAAGGCTTACGGTGCATATGCCTACCTCTCGGTCCGACCTTCGAGGGCACAGGGCGTCCACTTCGTCGAAGAATATGACACAGGGCGCGGAGTTCTTGGCTCGCTGGAACACCTGTCGTACTGCACGCTCACTCTCACCAACGTACTGAACATACACAGAAATAAAATGCAGAGACTGTTCAACTTTGGGGCTTTGGGCCAAATTACAGTAAAACTAGTTTTAAAAGACATTTAAATATCAGAGTCCACAAAGTACTAGGCTGATCCGCATGGAACTGCTGATATATAACCATTTTTGATGCAGAAACACAGCCAAGTGTATATGGTTCAACTTAATAAAATCAGCTATTATTGAAGCCTATAGATTACCTCGTTTGTAAAACAAAGACAAAGTAAATGTAAGCTCTTCTCTAGGTCAGACACAATCCCATAATTCTACACTGTGATTTCGGAACTAATCTCCTGAGGGGCACCTGGGTGGCTCAGGAGGTTTGAGTGACCAACTGTTGATCTCGGCTCAGGTCATGATCTCAAGGTCTGTGACATCGAGATCCACGTCAGGCTCTGTGCTGACAGCACGGAGTCTGCTTGGGATTCTCTCTCTTTCTCTCTCTCTCTCTTCCCCTCCCCTGCTTGTTCTCTTTCAAAATAAATCAATAAACATTAAAAAAAAAAAAAAAGAACTGATCTCCTATGCTGTATGCATATAAAACACCCAGCAGTAATTTTCATTAATCCAATACTACTTTACTGCCATTTCCTGCTCGACCATCATTTCCATGTGGGTCAAGTTGCTAATGAAAGATCTACTTTGTCACTTGGCATCAGAGAAGGCGAAGTGAGCCAGTGAGGCCTCCAACAGGTTTCACTGGACATACCATACCGTAAAATCTAAGTCAAAACATAAAACAGTAAGATCAGTCAAGAAACACAGTAATTCATAACGACCTATAACATTAGGACAAGTTAATGCAGAGAGCTACACGTAAGAATATGGTCTCACTGTTCATGGGGCCTAAGAGACTGTTCTCGTAAAATTTCAAACTAGTGAACCAAGCATGTTTTTCTCCTGATAAAATTGCTAAATAGGACAGAGTCTGCAAACTGTTTCCAGTGCCGACCCCACCGTCGGTGTTTGTTACGCTCTCGTGACCACATGGCCGTGATAAGTAATGCAGGCAGAAAGCACACGCCATGGATGACAGTGACGGGAGGGTTTTCTGTCTTCTCATCTGTCCTGTCTTTTCTTGGTACTTTTGCTCAAGGTGCTTCCCTTACTTGATGTCTTCCAACCTGCCTCCACTTCTCCTGGTATTCGAGAAGGTCCCCGACTTTCTTCCTATTGCTCTCCCCACACTGCCCTCACAGAGTCTCCTGCTACTGAGACTCCCGGCTGGTCTAGATAGTCCTTGGGAAGCAGAAGTTGTGGCCTTGATCATAACATCTTGTGTGGTATATAAATACAGTAGACTGGCTCAATTTCCTAAAGAATCCAAGTCAGCAAAAATTATATTTGAAATGCTGGACCAAAATAGTAGATATTTTAAAAGAAAAAGTAACAGTGAGCTGGGAGAGGTCAAGTATCAGACAGGGGTCGACGGAAACGATCGACACAGCTGGCAAATGCACTGTGGCTAGAGCAAACCAAATGGCCAAAGGGAAACTTAATTTAGGGGAAGATAAACCTACAATTTCAAAAGGACAGATTAAAAATCAATCTTAACAAAGGTGACAGTGATTAAAAATAAGCAAACAGAAGAAAATCCCACTATCTTGGCCTTTATGAAATATTTCAAATAAGGATCCTATAGCTATCATTTCTAACTTCTTACTTGCCTTTCAGTTTTCAACCGTGATAACCTGGCTTTTGCAAACACCCTTATTGAAAACACCCTCCCTGAAGTCACCAATGACCTTCTAATTGCCAAACCCAAAGCCCTGCTTTCGGTTTCTCGTACGCTGTGGTTACTGACAAGATTGAAGAAACAGCCTCCTGGATGTTCAGGCTCAGAAAGTCTTGGGCGTCCTCCACCCTTACAAGACCAGTCTCCTCCTTCCCCATCCCCAGCAGTGTTTTACTGGGGTCAGGGACCCCACTGTTTGTCCCCAGGGTTTCCAGTGCCACCCCGAATCTCCTGAACTCCGGGCTCACATCCCTGTGTCTGCTGGAAGTCTCTGGACTCCTTGATTCTGAATCACCCTACAGCAAACTCATTATCTAATCCCAAGAAGTTTATCTTCCTCATCAGATCACCTCATCTCTCCCAGTCATTCCAGACTCTGCCACAGACCTCCTCCCCACCTTTCCCTAGGAAACAAGTCAGAACACAATGAGAACAAGGCTCAGTCCTCGGATTGGCAGGAATGGTGTGGATGTGGGACAGCGGGAACCCCCACTCCCCGCTGGTGGAGGCGTAACAGCAACAACCGTCTTGGGGAAAAAGCTGGCAAAACTTTCTCTCTCAGGAGCGAAGATACAGCAATTCTCCTTCGGAGAACATACCCTCGGGGGAAATAGCTCACTGATGAAAGTAAGGATGTATGTATGTAATGTTCGATCTGAACATCAAGAAAGAAAGAAACTGATTTTTTTAGAAGTGTGGTTCTGTTCATTCAGCGGAATGCCACAAGGAAAACTGATGAACTAGAGGTAAACACATCAACAGAGATAAGTATTACTGCGATCTAATGATTTACAAGAAATATACATTTGATCACTCAGATGACTAAATGTACTTCTCAGACATACCTGGTTTTCCCCAAGTTTCTGAAAACTGTCAGAGCCACAAAAGCGAGTGGAGGTCTTGTTAATATGGATTCCACTAGAGGGCGGGGCTGGCTGCCAGGAGGGCCAACCCCATGGTTACAGGGTGGAACTTTCAGTGTCTCCCCCCCCCCCCCCCCCCCCCCACACACCTCCAGGCAGGGGAGGGAGCCGGAGACTGAATAGACAAAGGTCAATGACTCAGCCAATCATGGCTCCACAGAAACTTAAGGGCAGTTTTTGGTCCTTCCAGACCTGGGGAACCATGGAGCCAGGCCCCAAGGCCCATGAGACTCCAGGTTGGGACTGTGCCCTATGTACCTCTTCATTTTGCTCTTGATTCTTCTTCTTTATCATGTCCTTCAACAACCTGGTAAATACAAGTGTTTCTGGGAGTTCTGCCAGCTGCTCTGGCAAATTAATCAAAACTGAGGAGGAGCTGGTTGGAGCCTCTAATCTGTAGTCGGTGTGTCAGAAGCACAGGTGACAGCCTGGGGGCCTGTGACTGGTGTATGCCATGGGGGGTGGGGGACACTCCTGTAGGACCGAGTCCTCAGCCTGTGGAATCGGATGTCGTGTCCTGGTAGCATCAGAACTGAGCTGAACTGAGTCGGTTCTCAGACACCCTGCTGGTGTCCAGACTGCTCGAGGTCTTGTGACCACATACTTCCACAAGTTAGTCTGTGCTCCTCCGGGTAAGTGTGCTCCCGTCCCCGTCACCTGCTTCACCGGTCCCTTAAAAATTACTGTCTTAACATCGAGTATCCAATGAGTGTTCAAATTTCCAACTGCCTCATTAAACATTTTTGAAACACGGACAGTAATACTACATGCCGTTTAGGGATAAATATACATATGTAGTAAAAGCAGAAAGTACACAGAACAAAGACCAAATTCAGGATTACGGTAAATTCTGTGGGAGAGAGAACAGGGGACGTGGTTAGGGAAGATCTGCAGGGGCTTCGCTGGGTGACAGATACGTTACTCTTCCTAATTTCTCACGTGCCTGGAACAGATCCTCAGAATGTGAAGCAAGGTTGTGCCCTTGCTTACAGCCTCTGTCGGCTCTGGCATTCCGGAGACAACACCCAGCTCTGGCTGGGGATGAGGGCCCCTCACTGTCAGGCAGAACTGTCCTTCCTGGCTTTCACCCGCAACAATCCTCTCCCTGCAAGGTTCCTAACACCTCCTCTGCCAGGAAGGCAAAAGAAGCACAAGGAAAGTAAAGACGTAGGTAGAAAGCCCGCAGGAAACGCTTAAATACAAATCCTTATTTTAGGAGGAAAGTAACACATACAATAGGAACATATACAAACTGGTAAGGGGGATACACTTAAAAAGCCTTTTGAAACAAACAATACTTTTTTTTTTTTTTTTAAGTATGCTCCGCACTCAGTGTGGGGCTCGAACTCACAACCTTGAGATGAGTCACATTTTCTACTGACTGAATCAGCCAGGAGCCCCCAAACGATACTACTTTTACTTCTTTGTCTGAATGCATTACAGAACGGAACGGTGTTTTTACTTCTCATAAGGACGAAGGGATAATACAATATTCAAAATCTCTAAAATCTGAGATATCATATAAACTGAACGCAGAGAGGAGTTACTGTATAGTATTGTGGCATCTCCCCCCCAGAGTACTCTTACTTTTTGAGACAAGTCGTGTGAGCTACCGGACAATCAGGATGAGGCAAGCACGCTGGGAGTCACGTAGCCCAGGCTCAAACCTCAGCTCTCCTCCCCCAGGGCCACTGGACTTTGGCCAAGGTGTGTGACACCTCCAGACTTGAGTTTCCTCGTTAGCAAATCAGGAATCAGAGGAAACAATAACCCGCATCTCACAGGACTGTCACCGTGAACAAGGCAGGGGTTGGGGGCTGACCACCCACCCTGCTGTTGAAGATCCACGTGTAACTTTTTACTCCCCTAAAACTCAACTTGTGATAGCCTGCTGTTGACCTTGGGAAGCCTTACGACATGAAGTCAACTGACTTTTGTCGGCTGTGTGTTCTATGTATCAAACTGTGAATTCTTACCATCAGGTCAGCTAAAGAGAAGAAAAGATCAGTAGGAAAATCATAAGGAAAATACACTTACAGGACTGTACTTATTGAGAAGTCTCCGTACATAGGTGGGCCTGCACAGCTCAAGCCCGCGTTGTTCAAGGGTCAGCTGTATATGTAGAGTGCTTGACGAATACACGGCACAGAGTATCGCTTTATTTATGTATTTATTTTATTTTTCAGAGTACACACTTTAAAATGTCACCTGGGTGGCTGAGTCAGTTAATCAACTGACTCGATTTTGGCTCACGTCATGATCTTGTGGTTCATGAGTTCAAGGCCCACACTGTGATAGTGCGAATCCTGTCAGGATTCTCTCTCTGCCCCTCCCTGTGCTCTCTCAAAATAAATAAATGATCTTTAAAAAATTTTTAAAAGTAAAATAAAATGTCCACTTTTAAAAAAAGTTTATTTGGGGGGTTGGGGGGCGGGCAGGCAGGGCAGAGAGAGAAGCAGGCTCCACACTGTCAGCACAGAGCCTGACTCGGGGCTCAAACCCACAAACCGTGAGATCATAACCTGAGCCGAAGTCAGATGCTTGACTGAATGAGCCATCCAGGAGCCCCTACAATGTCAACTTTTTGATTATTTCCATTTTGCAGGAGGGAAAATGGAGGCTCAGAGCTGAAGAGACTTAGTTAAGAGAGCACTTAACACACTTCGTACAAGAGAGCAAAGCAATGTCTTCACTCCTGCGCTGGAGACTTCACCAAAACGTCCCGTGTTTCCAGGACGCAGGGACGCTCTGCTCGTAACTGGAGCAGCCGTTACTTCTCATCTACGACCAAGGCTAACGCCACAACTTACCATATTTAGCAATTCGGGGCCCTTGACAGATATAAAGTTCAGTCCGGACTCATTTGCAACTGCCTAGTGAGAAAAAAACCAAGATACAAATCAGAAAAATTTAAACAGTAATTTGTGACAACACAGGACTTTTTGCAGTTTATACTGTTTCTCTCATCAGAGGAAGGAGATGAAAAGGAAAAGGAGAAATGGGTTAAAAGAAAAATCAAAGAAACATCTATAACTTTCTAAGAATCACTCAGACGAGAAACCAGACAGGGTGATGTGGACCATCTGTGTGAAGGTGTTGCTCACACAAACACGCTTACATACACACGTCTGTAGCCCGGCTTGCAGTTCCAGTGAAATCCCAGTCTGTGCAGCAAAGGGTGCCTTACCCAATGAAAACAATCGTTCACTCATAAACCAAAATTCAAAAACCTCAGTATTAGTCTTGGCCACGGGTCAGCGCTCACAGATTACTTTTAGTAACGATTAAACTGCACGGCTCAAAGCCAACACGGTCGTACGTGTAAAAGAACCCGAGAGAGGTCACCTGAGTGCCGAGAAGAAATGTGAATAAGTCACCCAGGATCAGGGAACAGAGTCCCTTCTCTCCCCGGAGCCTGGCCTCGGAGCTCCAGAGCCACACCCGACAGGAAGCTCGGCATCTCCTTCCGGACCTGATGTCTCAAATCCGTCATTTCCAAAGCAGGACGCCTGGATCTGTCCCAGCTCCCTCCACACCCCACGTCCCCAACTCTGACAGCTTTTAGCCCCAGACCCTGGTGGCCCCCTTGACCCTTGTCACATCATCCAATCCGTCTCCAAGTCCCGTCAGCCTGAGGCCAAAATGTCCACGTCCGACGCTTTCTGCTCCTCCGCCACCCACCCCTCACGCAGACCACCTGGATGTGCAAAGAAACCAAACCGAGACTGGACAAGATGACCCTCACCGGTCCCCTTCCACTCTCGCTCTCCTCTACCACTCACCAGAGTCCCCTTGTAAGAACGCCAATCACATCGTCTCCCTAGGACTCACCTTTATCCCTGAATACAACTTGAAATATTTACCACAGCTCACCAGCCTGTAGTCTGGGACACGACAGTTCCACTGGCTTTCTCGGGGTCCCTCCCCGCTTCAGGGCCAAACAGGCGGTCAAGGCCGCTACGCAGCTGGCGCCAAGCACCGCGGCCACCGCTGGCAGAGGGACGCGCGTGGGCTGCCCGCACCACTCAGCTTCCTCCTCCCGGCCACCCAACACCGCGCGTGACGGAGAGTCAGGGCACATCGACTCAAGTGTGACTCCTCCGCATCAGCTTCCAGGCTTCCACGTGTCACGTAAGTGAGATTTAACCCACCGTGACCGCCGGCATTTCCTGAAATTGCCGGAGATCTTCCCCGTCTCCTACGTCTCCTACGTGGGACACGGTGACCCTACCGTACGTTTTCTTCCCGGACGTCACCATGAGCCTCACCTGCGGCGTCAGCAGCTGCCTGCGTCCGCGCCAGCGTCCCAGGTGACAGATGACGTTTATTAGTCACCAACCCACAGCGTGCTGGCTCCGGGAATCACACACTTGCACTTTCTGCTGCTCACGGACGTCCTATGTCCTCGCGCATAGGAAACTCACTGCGATGGTGAGTGAACCAAAGCAGGAAGACCAAGCCCAAACCCTCATCTTCTAACCAGGTTCTGTCCAGCACGCGGATCCACAACTTTCCCAAGGTAACATCTCGCTTCTGCCATTCGAGGGCATTTTCTACTATTTCTACTATTCTATTCTCCCAGGCATGAACCTCTTGGAGCATCTGAAGAAAGTGGTGAGCCCTCTCCCTGGAAAAAACACCGCCCGCATCCAGTGGGCTTGAGGCCGACCGGTGGAGTCCCGGGTAAGACTCCCTGCTCCGGACGAGCAAGGTGCCAGAAAGCTGACTGCACAGACAGGTGCCAAATTGCTGACAGTGAGGGGAGGCAGGAGCAGGGACAGGAGGATAATCTGCTCTGGGATCTAACAATATCCATGGATTTCAAATAACCCGTCTCCTTTCTGCCAGGAGCAGGGCTACTCAAAGGCAAATGTAACTCATTAAAAAACAAACGATACAAGGCACCCGGGCCAGGGAACTGCGTCCACCTGGTGAACTGACATGTTCACGTGCAGGACCTTCTTTCGGGCTACATTCTTCCCAAACTGCTGTCAAGAAAACAGAGAACTACCTCTGCCGGTGTTCCCACCCCCCTCACAGCAATGCCTCGCAAGAGTACTGGAAGCGTTAAGCAAGGAAACTCGGTAATATCAGTACAAATAAGTTAGGAAAACTTCATGTATGTATTACACACGTGCACATGAATACATACGTGAGCAAATGGCACTGTGGGTATCTGATTATTTATGGAGCACTCACAAATTATTTGGCTGTTGCAGTACTTCCTAAAAAGTCCTTACTTTTAATTTCCTAAGTTAAGAGTAATTCAAATAATTTAAAAAGTTGACAAAGGCTAAGTAAGTTATAGGTGGAACATCATACAGACATTGAAAACGACAGCTAACACGGGGCGCCTGGGGGGCTCAGTCGGTTGAGCGCTGACTCTTGATTTCGGCTCAGGTCGTGATCTCACAATTCGTGGGATCGAGCCCCATGACGGGCTCAGCATTGGTGGCATGGAGCCTGCTTGGGATTCTCTCTCTCCCCCTCTCTTTCTGCCCCTCCCCCATTCACACTCTCTCTCAAAACAAACTTTTAGAAAATTGTTGAAGCAAAAGGGAGACACATAATTTACAATCCTCTCTCCTCCACCTACTACGAGCCACTGCTTCATTTTGTTGTCAGCCCTTCTCGATGTTCTTCCGTGACGCGGATGTCAAGATAACGTGTACCATAACTTTTACATGAATTCTGACAAATACAAGCTTTTTAAAAGTGCTTTTCTCACACAGCAATATTAAACATCTTCCCATACCAATATATGCACACGTCTGTATTTTCAATGTCTGTGTAGAATTCTATCGTAAAGGTATTCTATACTTTACGGAAATGACCCCCACTGAAACAACACTACATTGAATAGTCCTGTACTTAAATTTTTGTACCTCGACCAGTCATTTTATTAGAACGCACTTCTAAGTAATTTTTTTTTTTTAATTTTTTTTTTCAACGTTTATTTATTTTTGGGACAGAGAGAGACAGAGCATGAACAGGGGAGGGGCAGAGAGATAGAGGGAGACACAGAATCGGAAACAGGCTCCAGGCTCTGAGCCATCAGCCCAGAGCCCGACGCAAGGCTCGAACTCACGGACCGCGAGATCGTGACCTGGCTGAAGTCGGACGCCTAACCGACTGCGCCACCCAGGCGCCCCTAAGTAATTTTTCAATAAAAGGAATGTTTTTAAAGCTTTCGACCTGTTCCACTTGATCAAAATGACCCATTACCAGATCACATCTGCTTCCTTACCAAAGTGCCTTCTAGACCGTCTGTGCGGATTCTACCCTGTCGCCTGAGTGTCTATCTTGCACAAACTGAAGGAGTGACAGCCATTAACATTGCTTTTAACCTTTGACGGTCTGGGAGGCAAAAATGGTTTCTTACGCTTCTTAAGTGGCATTTTAAAAATTACCAGTGGGCTTTAAAGACTATACTTGTTGGCTTTCACTTTCTTTCTTTTAAAGTTTATGTATTTTGAGAGACAACCCAGGAAGGGGAGAAGCAGAGACAGGGAGAGACAGAATCCCAAGCAGGCTCTGCATTGACAGTGCAGAGCCTGATGTGGGGCTCGATCTCACAAAGCTGTGAGATCATGACCTGAGCTAAACCCAAGAGTCAGACACTCAACCAACTGAGCCACCCAGGTGACCCAAAAAAACAATTTTTTAAAATAACAATTGTAGGGGCGCCTGGGTGGCGCAGTCGGTTAAGCATCCGAC